TGTGCGATTGGATTGTAGTTCCGTCGTGTAGTTCGATTGCTGCGATCATGTTGATCCGTTGTCGTTGCGATTGTGGTTCTGTAGTGTCTTGTTCGGTCGTCCTGACAGTACTTCCTTCCTTCGTCTGTTGAGCCCTTGTTGGTCGCATTACTTCGTCTTGATTTTAGGCGTCGTAGTGGTTGTGTTGTTGTTGGTGGTGCTGGTAGTGGTGGATGTCGGGGTGTGGTCGGTGATGTAGCCGTTGGTGAGTCCAGTAGCTGCGAACTTGAAGGTCCTGTCGTAGGTCTCGTCGAAGGTAATGCTGGTCCTGGATTGCGGCGGTGGTTGTGGTACGTCGTCTTCAGCGTTTGTCTGTTGTCCAGCGTCACGTTGAGGTGGTCGTGGAGATTGCGACGGCGGTCGTAGCGCCGTAGTTTCGAGGAGTGTCGTAAACTTCGGGTCGTAGGTGATACGTCTCGGTGACCATGGAGTTCCGGTTATCTTGTTCAGTAGTGCGAGGTCGTGTTTGAAGTCCGGTTGTAGTCTCCTCACCGTGCGTACTTTCGTCACTCCTTGTTCTGTAGCCACGTAGTTTTCACCTGTTTCGGAAACCTTACCTAACCAGATGCATTTCTGCACGCGCGGCTCGGCTTTAGGTAGACTCTGGTGCTGCGGTGGCACGCACAGTAGTTTTTCTCCGAATTCTACGATTGCTCGTTCGTAGTTGCGTCCCCAGCGTCGTTCGAAGCTGGTGTAGCTGTCGAAGTGTACTACGTAGCGGTTGATAGTCCACGCAGCGTGTCGTATGATCCATGGTAGTAAGGGATGTTTCACGTTGAGTGTGATCCCGTAGTTGCGTTCGACTTGCGCCTTGAAGGTGCGTGTTTGGCCAAGTAGTGTTCGGTGTACTTGTTCTACACTTCCTTGGCTGTTACTGCTGTAGGCCGGTCAGTGTCGTACTGTCACGGATCCTAGTTTTGCTGCTGTGGCTTTTTAGTAGTGTATTGAGTGTGTCCTCGTTGTCGCTTTGTTGTGTTTTTTTGCGCGACCGCATTCCAGAATGAATGCTTGTACGTTGTTGATCATGTAGTCCATCATTGAGGGCTTGTCCGGAACGAGACTCGCCATGCATGTCAGTGCTGCTGTAGGTCGCGGCTCCTGATTGGTCTTGACGTAGGCGAAGTCGACCTGAGTGACGGGTTGTCGTCCATGTACACAGGTTGGACACCAATCTCTGTAGGGAAGGTGTGTGAGTTCGTGTTCATGAACTTCCTGCAGTGTAGGTTTGCGAGGTTGTCGTAGTCCTTTGGCTCGTTGTGCTTCTACGTGTGGTTCATCATCTGCAAGGGTGTTGTCATCCATGTAGTGGTATCCTACCTTCACAGTGAACCGTGTTGCGCCGGTCCATGTGTAAGGTAGGTGAGTGTTACCAGCTGTGGTCCAGTCGTCCTTGTGTTGCTTGACTTCGTTGAAGTTGTTGGTGGTGATTGTTGTTCTGTAAGGCTCAAGTGAGTCATTGGTGGGTGTCCTCCTGGACCATCTGCTGGAATGAACATTGTAGTGCGTGATACCAAGCGGTGTCTGGTCCAGTGTTCTCCTTGTCGTTCCCAGTAGTCTTGCTTGTCTTCTTGTTGTGTCGGTGGTCTAGTTATTTTGGATGTAGGCGCCGGTGTGTCAATGCTTGTTGGTTGTGCTTGTTGCGCTTTAGCCCTCCAAATCTTTTGTGGAGCGCACATTGTGAGCGATGTCCTGGTTGTAGTTGTTGGTTGTGTTTTTAGGTCGTGCGCTCGAGCTTTGTCATGCGATTGTAGTTTTGCCTGTGGTCCTTTGTGTAAGAAACATCTTTCTCCTAAACCTAGTTTCACCAACCCAGTCGTCACCGGGTGGTCGTTTGTGAAGTTCGGTTTTGGAAATCTGTTTCATGAAGTCTTGTAGTGTCTCCGGTTCCTTGCCAGTTCTGACAACTGTAGTTTGTCTCCAGTCGTCTAGTTGTTCTGTAGGTGTTGGGCGTCCGGAGTCTTCTGGTGCGAAGAGCGCTTTTCGTGGGCGCTTGTGTACTCGGACGGCGTAGTCACCATCGAGTTGTCTGTAGTCAGTGTTTCCTCCAAGGATCCTTCGTAGGCCTTGGTCAGTGTGAGTCAGTGGTGCTGTAGTGTTGTGTTGTGGCAAGCGGTTGTCCGTAGTGACTGGTTGCGTCACAGCTCTCATGACTCCGTCGTGGTCCATTAATGGTTGTAGTTCGTGATCTTTGGGAATGTAAATCCGCTTGATGGCCAAGTAGAAGAGTCCTCTCTGTCGAAGTGGTGGCGCTGTGCTGTCACCGTGTGAAAGTGAACAGTGTTGTGTGTCCAGTTTCAGGCTGTAACCTCGATCCAGTAGTCTTGATGCGCTAAGGATCGGGTACTTCACGTCACAAACGTAGTAGGGGGTCAGTCATGATCTTGAAGTTAGGGCGCGTACTTGATTCCGTAGACAGGGCTTTGCCTTATTGTGACCGTGTAAAGTTGCGGAGTAGTAGTGCAAGGCCGCAGTGGTATATCTGGCGCGTAGCCTCTAGGACAACATGTGTGGATGCTCCAGAGTCTTGTAGTAGGTAGTGAAGTTGTTCCTGATGTTGTTGTTTGTTGTTGCCTTGCATCAGGTACTTGCAGTACCTGTTTTAGTGATTGCCTCCACGCGCACGGTTGCTCGCATTTCGGTAGTAGTAGGCCTGGTTCTTGTCTTCGTAGTGTCCGATGACCAGCCTTTCGTTGATTCCACTGATGTCGTGGGTTGCGTCGTAGTCGCCTGATGTACTAAATTGGTCGTCGTAGTTCCACCAATCTTGTTCTCCTGGATTGTAGCCCCATTCTGGCTCTTGCCAACTGTCTCCTGTGTCGTCTGTATAACCTGTAGTTGCGTAGTCTTCCCAAGATTGGAATCTTGTGAGTAGATCTCTTCCATCTCGTGGTCGTGGTCTTCTTGAGGCTCTCCTTCGTGTAGTTGCCAAATTGCCAGTCTGCATTCTGAAGCGTCGTGGCCGTACCTGCCGCATTTGTAGCACGCTCCTTTTCCTTGGCTGGTGTTGTAGTTCCCTTTACCTTTTCCTTTGGGATTGGTTGCGCCTCCTTGGTAGTATGAACCTTTGTGTCCTTTGCCTTTTGTTGTCTTGACTGTAGTTATAGCCGTAGTTTCCTTTTCCTGTGTTGCCCCATCTCTCCTTGAAGGGCCGTTGTGGTGTTCCTTTGCCTTTTCCTTTGTAGTTGCCTTTTCCTTTTCCTGGATGTCCTTTGTAGCCTCCTTTGCGTCGTCCTTTGTGGTTCCCTTTCTTCCTGCTGGCCCACCTCCGTAGACGCCGCCAACGGCTGATGATGTAGTTGCATTCATCTTGGAAAACGCCGAGATGGTCTTGTAGTACTCGATCACCACATCACGCGCTGCCGTGTAGGTAGTCTCGTAGTTGAAGATGTTGTTGTAGTGCTCCGTTCGTCTCATTGAGTAGTACTGCAATCTTTACTCCATCTGGTAGCGCTGCTCCGTTGTCGCGCTCATACCTGTTGACGTCATACTCCCATTGTAGAAACTGCTCTTCAAACTGTTGCTCGCTGAATGAAGGTTTCAGTAGTTTAGTCAAGTGGCCAACACTTCTTGTACCAACTGGTAGGCTGAACCGGTTGTTCAAAAGTCGTAGCGTTTCGCCACCATTGGCTGTGTAGCGGTTTTGTCTGACCACTGTCGCCGCTGGGCCTTGACAGACGCTGATGAGGATGTAGTGTAGATCACGTGCAAGGTTGACGAGCTTGTTGCCTCTGGCAGTGTCAGGTAGTACCTCATTGATCAGGCATTGGTCTACCACTGTGTTTGTAGCTACATCTGCTACACGAAGTATTTGGTCGAACTCGTTGTCGATGAGTCCCAAGTGGGCTTGTAGCTTGAATCTCCATTCATCGTAGTTGGAGTAGTCACCATTGAAGTATGGTGGTGGTAGTTTGTACTTGTGTAGTCTCTGCACATTGCTTTCTGCCTGTGCTGCTGCTGTTGTTGCACCTATTGTTCCTGTAGTTTGCGCTGGTGGTATGCCTGCTGATGCTGCCTGTTGATCTCCTGCTGTCATGTCGTAGTAGTTGGGCATACTGGGGTGCTACTGTAGTCGCTACTACTGGAGCTCCCCTTTGGGTAGGATCTCAGCTCCGCTACCACATTGAAATACAAGTGTGCATGCTGTGTAGTTTTTATCACAAACAAATGTAGTCTGCCGCAACCCTTGTTTCCTCTCCAGCGGTAGTGAGGCTCAAGGTCTGCGGTATGTATCAACTGCCAGTGTAGAGCACATGCAACTGTATCATGCACTCACTGTAGTTTAACAGCTCTGTGATTTCCATCCAGGCAGGTCGCCAGTCCTGCACCATGGCCCGCTGCAGATTCCTAGCTTTGCAGCGACACCGGCCCAGCAGCGCGCACAGTGCTCTGACCACGCGTGAACTCTACAACGCGCCCGCACAAGCGAGTCTGCTGTAACGTGGGATCAGCTGCGCTGTTGCAGCACAAATCGCTCATAAGCCGTCTTAAGCTTCCTGCGTGTGGAAACCACGGCGGTCAGCAGCGATCAAACAAGCTGCCAACCCAGCGCTTGCGTTTCGCCCTGAGCGCCGCCTCCATAATCTAAAGACTTGCGGGATCTGCCAAGACGCCAGAATCATCACCATGCGCAAGCAGTCTTGCTCCTGACAACGACAGACCCGTCTTTGAACCTCAGCGTTGAAACGGGCGCATGCTCATCCAAGGCGTCTGTGTCACTGCCGAAAGCTCTCCCGACCAGGTTTCCCGGGGCGTTAGCCAGGGTTCTCTGATCTTGCGCGCTCCCGGCCGAAACTTCTGTACGTCATCCAGGGCCACAATGCCAACCACAAACTTCCACACACAAGTGTTTTGGGGTGCGCTGGTTCAGACAGCTTGTGGATCTGTCCAAGTTCAATTTGTCAGCTTAAGCAATCAACACGTATTGATAACACACCATGCAAAACTATGCACTGGCTGCAGGCCTTCTGGCATGAGCTGGTGCGGCTCGGAAATGAATGCAGTCAGCATTCGCAAGTAGGCCTCGGTTTGGCATGAATAGGCCACCCACATTGAGCCTGCACAGACTGACCCTCAATGGTCAGAACCCGTCCTGCACCAAGTTGGCATCCATGCTGGGAATGCCTGGAGCCTCCTGGCACTCCTCCCTGATGTATGGAATCGCCTGCGCACGTTCACGCGTAGTTTGCTCTGCAGAGCAGTGCTCTGGCCTCCTCGCAAACAGACATTGCCCACTTGCCAATGTCTTTGGCAAACTCTGGGAACTTTGCCTCGAACCTAAGTGGAAAAGCACGGCGATTCCGTGGGGCATGTTTGCCTCTTCCAGCTCCTTAGTTGTTTCCTCAGTCACATCATACTTAAGCATCTGACTTCTCCACCCACGTCTGAATCAATGGTTTCCAGCCTGGATAGCACAATAATGGGTGAGAAGATGGAAGCTGGACAACTCAGCTCCAAGCCGAGATGGACCGGCTCCAAGTAGACCATTCCGCATCGGCCTCGATTCAAACTCCACCACGCAAGCAACGTATGCCAAGGGCGCAAGATTTACACAAAGCCATGCTTCCTAGAAGCAAAATGAACATGCTGAATTTGTCTTCAATGATGCTCAGGCTGCTGCTCACGGTGGCCGGGGAGGCTACCATCAAATCATTCACCTACCCGTCTCCGTGGAAGCACGATGTGCCACGTACTGCATTGCTTGCGTTGCAGATTCAATGACTGGCATGCAGCACTCGGGGAACTGTTGCGTGCCCATGCTACAAAATTCACAAGCTATGTGGCCTCGAACATCACAGTCATGCTAGGCGGCAGCTTGATGCGTTCTCCGTTGGAGAGGCACAACATCCTGAAACTGCACTGCTTTGCCGGGCCAGGTCAACATCCGTCGGGTAAATTAACTGAGTCAGGGTCTTGTTGTCATCCAAGACGGTGTTCATGTTCTCAATCCAAATCGCATCAACTGGTCCATCGAAATTCACCCACTTCCTGGGATATTGAGTTGCAGGCAGCGTATCGATGACTACAGTGTGAAAAAGCATGGCTCGATTTGCTCTAAGGTATGCTCTTGTTGTCTGAACTGTCGCTAACGGCCTCTCGCACCAGAATGGCCACCAGCCCGTCCTGCGCCACAAATTCACAACGAAACATGCTGTTCGCTGAAGCATGTTGTGCGGCATGCCTTCCACTCACCCGTGTTCTCGTTAAAGGAACCGTAGAGTTCCTCGATTGTGATACCTTCAGACTCGATCAATCAAGTAGCTTCCACATTTACAGAGCTTTGGTATGCAAGGCACTCTTTGGATTCAGGAAGAAGATCTTCGTCAGCTGATGCGCAGGATCTGTTGATCCGTCCTGAGGCTGTTGCACACACAATCATTGCTGCACGTTTGAGCTCAGCAATCCAGCCACATACATCCATGGCTTCTGTGCGTCCTTCTTCAGCTGTGTCAGTGTCTTTGCCAGAATGTTGGAGTTGGTTGACTTGCCCGTCATTGTCAGCCCAACCAGCATGACACCGTGCCTGCGAGTTCAAGATGAGTTGACGTGTCAATCGCAATGGAGACGTGCCCGACGCCCAGGTTAGAAAGAGACATGCGTCACCGAGAAACAGTGCACCGTACAATCTGTCACGAGATCGGCCTGACAAGCTGCGTTTCCAGCAGCTGTGTGATTTTGGTGAGGAAGGATGGAACGACCTTGCAGGAAATCTAGGAATGCTCTACGTATCTTGTTAAATGCGCTTCATGCAAGGACATGTAACATGCGTGAACAGTTCCCGGTGCTTGTAGTGGCCTGCAGGTTCATCAACCGCAGCTGGTTTTCAATCTCTGTCTTCAGCTTGCCATAGTCGACATCAGGAATGGTCACCTCAGACAGCATGTTCAAGCTCACAAAGTTGTGGTGTTGCAGTCTGCACGCCAACAATGACAGTCTCACTGTGTCCAAGTATGTTTCATGTGTATATTATATATATATATATATGGTAACACCCCCCCCCCCGCGCCCATGGACCCTGGTTTGGTGAGTTTGTCCTGTATTATTTCCAGTACCTGTTTTGCTTTTTGGATTCTGTGTCAAAATACGGGGAGGGGGGTGCCATATGTATATATGATATGCATGCATGCATACATGTGTGAAAAAAGCAATGACATCAGCATCTGCAATCTGAAAGAGTTTAAATGCATCCAAGAGTATTAGAACAACTCGGAAATGTTTAAAAAAAAATAAAAATGTCTGGATTCAAGACTCAAGAATCTGAGATGCTCTAGGAATCTTGAATATTGAATCCCAGATTTACAAAATGAAAATTTATGGATTCAAGATTCAAGAATCAAGAATCTGAGAGAATACTTTCTGGGAATCTTGAATCTTGAATCCCGGATTTGTTTCTAAAAACAAATACAGGGTTGTCCCAATACTTCTGGTGTTCAGTAAGATGCTCGGGAAAGCTTTCCATGAAATTTGCCAATCTCGAATCTTCAATCTAGTGGTAGAATACGTTCGAGGTGTTTGAACAACTTCAACACTTTTGGGGGTTGACCAGAATGGATGATTCTCAAGAAACTTGTTGGTTTAGCAATCCTCAATATTGAATCCTCAATCCAGTGGTAAACCACTTTCAAGTGTCAAAAGAACTTGAATGTGGTTTGGGTTTGGCCAGGATTGACAATTCTTAGGAAAGTTTTCTGTGTAACCTTCCATAGTGAATCTTCCATCCAGTGGTAAAATACTTTCAAGTGCTTAGCGATCCAGTGGAAACTCTTTCAAGTTGTTAGTTAGACAAACTTTCAAGTGTTTTTGGTGGCGGTTTGCTTCATGTCAGCTATGCTCATGTTGACCCCTTTCCAGGAGGTAAACAAAGGTAGGTGTAATGCACAAAACCACTGTAATTTACAGAATCTTGTGAGGAGGCGCAAGATCATTAGGGGTACTATATATATATATGTGTATATACATGCATATGTATGTATGTTCACACACCGTCACCCCCCCCCTCCTCTTGAACTACCTGTCCACACTTGCTTATCTACTACTTCCACCTTTTGAGATAGAATGAAGGTGCTTCCTGTGCAAATAGAACTTTCAATACAACTGATTTAGCTAGAATCCCTGTTTCGAGATAGGTTTAGAATTTGAACCTCTCTTCCCTTGAAATGTCCTTTTGGAACACCGTCTAGCAAGTTTAATTTGGACCTTGCTTATGCTACAAAAGGGCCAGAATGTAAATAACCCAAATCGTATTTTTGATTTTCTTTCCTTGTAGAAGTCCCTTAAATGCTTAGCCATATCTAATGTAAATTATATTTGAGAAGTAGTCTCTATTTAGTTGTTATTACCAAACGCTAATTGAATTGTGTTCGTATTTGATCACATTTAACACTTAGATTACTTTTGGAATTCATGCCTATCTAACTTATTTTGTCAAAGATTCTTTGGAGTTTACCCGAAGCTATATTTACATTCTCATGTAGCTCCTATTTGGAAAGGATTTGCAAATGAGAATTTAAGCTGTAATTGAACATAAACACATTTTGAAACTATATCCTAACTAAGTTATACTCAAAAGAAAACTAGTTAAAGTGAAATCCTATTTGGAAAGGATATCATATTGGAACATTATGGAGGACTCCGGGCTCCAAATTATGAGGCTTTGGGGACCCACAATTGGAATCTCCAGATTCTAGATTTACCATCCCCCAAAAGGCAGTAAAACCAGGGTCCATGGGGGATATATGTCATTGCTATGTAAAATATCATATATTCACAGGACCCCTCCAAGGCCGCTATCAAATTAAGTGCATGACTTCAGGATACAAATCCGAAATGATGCCGCTGAACAATGGCAGGTCAAAGGACAAAAACCTTAGCGATCAGCAATTCTGCATGCTGCATGTGTGAGGAGCTTTTCAAGGTCCTGACTTGGGCGCATTGGAATCACGCAAAGCTCTGATGAGGGTTACGTTCTCCTCCAACTCCGGATTTTGACCTGAAGTCTCTCTAGGGGAAAGCGGCTAGAAGATCGCCCTCGCAGTCTTACCAGTCTATTCCCAACATGGTGACCATGAACATCCAACAAAGCCTACCAGCTACAAATCGAAAAAGAACAAGTCCGCGTGACGCGCACCCACCTGCCTTCAGCGACACACACACACACAAACACACACACACACGAAGAAAAAAATTGGAAAAAAGGAAAGAAAAAAACTAAAAAAAGGAAGAAAAAAAAACAGAAGAAGAAAAAAACGACGGGACCTTGCGCAAAAGCATGGCTCAGCAGGACTAACAAGCACCGCCCAGCTCCCATAGGCCGTGGACGCTTCAGGTGGCCTGCCATGACCAGCACAGACTTCACCTGAGCACTGGCTGGCCTTGCTATTGCGCATAACAATGCAATGCCCATGCAAAGGCCATGCAAAGGTCGTGCAAAGGCCATGCAACGGCCATACAAAAGTCAAAGCATCAATGGCATCATTCATGCAACACAGGCCAGCAATGCCGCTCGCATTCCGAAGTCCTCAGCTGCATTTGGTCGTCTTGTCGAATGTAACTCCCTGCCAACCGCACGTCCGTTTGGAAGCAATAATCAGCAACATGCTATAGACTTCATCTCATTGCTCGCCCTCTGGTGCATGTCTGTTCCCTGAGGTTGCATCATAGTGATCTTGCTTTGACAGCTGCTCGGATGACAGCCGATAGAGGTTCACCATCTTGCGGGCCTGTCAAACATGCTAAGATCACCACTGCAAAGTGGTTCAGACTCTCAAGTTCAATCAAATGGAAAGCCGCAGGCCAGCATCTTGGCTGCATTGAAACCTTCTGAGTACAGAATGATCTCTGCCTAAGTCATAGGCACTAGCAACACCTAAAATTGTTTGTCAACTGTGCATGCCGACAATCAGGCCGTAGTCTGGCACCATCATTGCCTCAGGAGCAGGAAGCCTTCATAGAAACGCACAAATCATCCAAATGTGCAGATTCGGCATGACAGGCATGCAAATAGCAGTTGCGGCATTCTGAGTTGTGCCAAGGCAAGAGTGCGGTATGTAATATGAGCTCTGCAATATGAGCTCTGCACCACTGGCCGGAAGAGCGCTTTCAAGTTGTCTGGCAGCTCTGCGCGCCCAGCATAGCCAGGGTTCATGGTGATGTAGACCTTAGGTAAACACCTGGAACTGAAGGACTTGTGCAATCAATGAGTCTCATGAGGCCCGAACCCCAAATCGGCGGTTCAATGGAATTTCATTGCCAACAAACTCGAAAACCTCTTTGCGCTGCCGAATGGCCTGCAAGCAATGGGTGGCCAGCCAAATCTGTGGGCAACAAGCCGAGCCTGTGTGACTGTGAGCATTTGCTGGGCAATGACACTCAGCACCTCCACCTGAATGCGGTTGAACCTGGCAAACCACAAGACGGCCGACATGTCCTCCACAAACAAAGCAGGCAAAGCAAGCACAGCAAGCAGAGCAAGCAGAGCGAGTACAGCAAGCAGGGCAGCAGGACTCGTCGAAGCATGCCCAAGCTCCAGCTTGTGCCAGTCCAGAGAAGAAGCGGCCCATAATTTTGTAGTCAAGACCATCCGAGCCTGACCAAAGCGAAAGTGCAATGGTCAGCAGCACATACCCTACCACCAATTAACATGGAACCTGACAGGGGGCCCCTTGAAAAAGAAAATGATCTTCAAGTACCCCCTCTCAGCTTCCATGTTAATTGGTGGGAGGGTAACTCTTCAATTGTCTGGCTTGCGCAGCAAGTGCCGTCAAGTCTCAGTTGAAGACGACCACGGGGACAGCAAGTGCCTTGCCCAGGTCCTTTGTGGTCTCTGTCTTTCCTGAAACGGGCAAAGGCAGTGGCCCAGTGGGCTCGTTCCGGCTCACTCGGTTGCGACGCGCACGGGCCTGTGCCAGCTGGTCCAGCGGGAGCACCGCCGTAGTTGAGATGCATAGCTCCTGACAGGTGGAAGCAGGAAGGCAGTCTGAGGAGATACGAAGCATTGGCGTCCTGTCAGCGTCATGTAGCACTTGTCGGTGAGTGGTGTTACAACCTCCAGGCGGCTGCCGCTGTGCTGCGAGTGCAGCAGAAACAAGAGATGGCTGCTCTAGCTTGGCCCAGAACCAAACGTGGCGTGTTGCCCAGATACTCATAGGAGTACTTGAAGCATGCAATCGTCTGGCGACAGACCTGAAGATCGTCGCCAGTTTGAAACCATCTGTTGTGCACATGCAGAAGCGCGCACACACACAACCCACAAGTACAACACAATTGCAAGGGAGTCGGCGCAATCATCAGAAACCATGCTGATCAAGGAGGTCTCAACCTGCAATGAATATCATCCGCTATTTCTACGCTGATCAATCATTGTCAAAAAGATGGTATTGCAATGTTGTGGTTCTTCCTCGCCTCTTGTCCCTCTGGGACCCAATAGTATCGGAGCTGTTTGCTCCAGTCAAAGTCCTCAATTGCAACTGAAACAGCTGGCAGGGTTGGCCAAGGATTTCAGCAGCGCACATCAAGGCTGCTTGTCCCTGCATCATGCAAGTTCTCCAGCACAGTGATACCATGCACCTTGGCATGTGAACGCCAGGAGCAGAAGGATGGAAGAGGTAGCGCATGAAATGTTTGCCCAAGGTAGACCCCAAAGCAACATGACAACGAGGGATGGCCACACTATGACGCTGGCGTCGAGGACAATCAAAGCACCCATCAACACCTCATGTCACACATCAAAGTCTTGTGGGAAACACTCTCTTGGCGATAACTGTGTTTGCACTGGGCTTTCTGCTCGCTGATTCTTGGTAAGCTGCATGCGAACCTTGCAAACTGTGACGTTTGACTGGCATGGCAAAAACGAATGTCAGCATCAGCTCATGCATGGCCAATACTCAGAGGGAAACGATGCTCACACTGTTCTTGAGCTGCTCGTTGTGGAAGGTAATGTTGTCCTTCATACCATTGGCCTGAGCAAATAAAGAATCATCGGATAAGCACAAAAGCGCAATAAATTTACTAAATGCGTGGTGCATACATCCAGGTTCGCTGCATCACCGGCTGAGATCTTGTTCAAGGCCTGGCGATCTAACATGCTCCTTCTTTGCTGCCGATCGACAATGCTCAGCCTTCTCAGTCTCAGCAGTCCAAAACTGCTGATCAACCAAGATCTTGGACTGTGCTGAGTACCTGAGGCTCTTACGACACCCAGAAATCAGCAACGAGCAGTTTATGTGCTTGCTTCTCAGCCGCAGGCTCGCCCTCCAAGAGCCACTGTGTGCGATTCGTTCCATCCTCGCATTATTGACTCAAACCAAACTGCCTTACCAAGGCATCAAGTAAAAAAGTTTGGGATTGCCAAGCAATCTGCATTTGCATTGCTGATTCAAACTCATCTTTGTCAACCTCACCTCAGGGTACGCCAGCAGAGCTTTCTTGCTCGCATCATAAAGGCCATTGACCATAGCCACCTGTGCCATACTCAAATCACAGGCTACTGTGAGCTCCATCTGCCTCGATGTCGCTGAGCCACTTCTCAACAATCGGGCCAGTTGCAACAGGCTGCACGAAAGGCACCTGAGACGCCCGTGCAAAGCTTTGACTGTCACTCACAAACCAAGGTTGCCGCGTACTCCTTGATCATGTCGGACATGCCGAGGATTTCGCCAGGAGAAGTCTGCGAATTGCAGGGCAATAGCGGCAAGCAAAGCAACTCGCACCAATTTATTGATGCGGCAAGCAATGCATGGCACCTCAGAGAACACCACACGATTGATGGAGTCAAAGCACTTGCCTGACAGGAGCCACACGAGCAAAATGTGTGTGCAAGTCGAATGGCTCTAATGGCAAGATCAAACAAAAGAATACCAGGGATTCCCTTGGTCCGTGCAGATTCTGTAAATTCGGCAGGTGTACACATGTGCTCCTGCACTGCATGAGGATTGCGCCTGAAAGGGCCAAGTCAAATTGACAAATGGTGCAAGGCTCTAGAGCGGCATCTCAGCTAAGCTTGGGGCGTTTGAGACAAGATGCTGAGCAGCTCGTCATTGGAAAGAAAATAAAACCTCTCCGCAGAGCAAGCGACACCGAGGTGATTCGACGTATGTTTTCAGGCCTGGGGAATGCAGCTCGCTTTGTCTCCAGGTAAGCTTCCAGCTGCTTCTGCACCTCACGTTCAATCTCTCTCATGTCAAACTCACAGCCTTTGGGTTCCCAACGTGATCCAGGGTATCGTTTGCCCACTTCAAGCGCTCCAGGACCTGCAGAAGCACTTCACGGATGGCTGTAAACATGAACAATATAAAGCCAGCACGAAACACAAACTTGCAATGCCGGACCCCTGGAATGTGGAATGCATCCATGCACAGCTTCTCCTTCTGGCGAACCTGCGACGGAACAACTGTACCAGCAAATACTGCTGATATTGCTTCAGCCTTCCGGAACAAATCCTTCCAGTATTTGTCCACCTGGCAATCAGCCAAGCTGCCACCAAAACACTTGGGTTCAACCTCTTCAGAGTCAAGAAGACTGACATGTGAAACTGCCGAGCAGTGCGACAGGCGATTCATCTACGCTGAAGCCTGCTTGAACTTGGCAGCTTCTTGGGGGAGCTGACGTTGGATATCCTCAGCAAAGTAATTGGTCCCACGGCGTACCCACATGTTTGTGTGTGTGTGCGCTGTGCCTCTGCAGAGAAGATGTTCTCCAAGTACATCCACGCGCGTTGTACGGTGTACCACTCATCTATCACGTCTGCCGCCTTGCGAATGCCCAAACGCCTCCTTGGATACATCGATTGAGCCTACCCGGTGCCTGGTTGATCCTCTTCTCCCACAACTCGACCTTCTCTCTAATTCCTCGGCTTGCTCCAAAGATTCGTGGCTCGCATCCAGCAACTACCCAGCATCGGATACAAAACCACAAAAGCCTCCATACACCCAAAAAGGGACTGCCCACAGTGCCACTCAACCTGGCAGAAAGCTGCAGACAAAGCAAACTGCAAACAACATTTTACACGTTGACACCAGCAGCAAAATAGACAAGGCGCCATGAATGAATCGGCTTCCCATCATTGTTGCAATGGTCACGCTATGGTCCTGTCACGGAGACCAAGTTTCCACTTGCAAAGCTGAAAGCAATAGAGTGCGCCTCACACAATGTGATGACATCTGCCAAGTCGCCAAGAATCCAGAGATCCTGCATGAGCACGAGTCTGCTATGGCTGGCCAGCTCGTCAATTTGACAGCTGCACGCACCTTCTGGTTTCGATGATTCATAATTGGCAACTCCAAGTCTGCCCAAGCAGCGATGACCTGTCACAGCATAGGTCATATTGATGCAACAGTGCTGCGTGGTTTCAAATCGCGCCGGTGCGCCTGCTCCAAGGATTGTTCCAGTGCAAACTCGCCGCTCGCATTTGCAGAGACTTCAGAGACGTACTCGCGGTGCTCGAAAATGCCATTGCCCTCCAGCTGTGTGAGGCCTAGTTTGGGCGGAGATTAACTTTGGTATTGGTTGGCTCTTTGTGTGTTTGTTTCCTTTGCTTCTTGTTTCTTTGATTCACTTTGTTTCTTTGTGACTTTGCGTTTACTTGTTTATTTGTGCTCTTGCCTGTCTGCTGGCTTGCTTGATTGCTTGCATACTCTGTTTGATGTTTGCTGGGGGCTGGGGTTGGTCCAGGCAAAAAGAGAATTATCCCTGGCCGTGGAAGAAAGCTCACATTGACATGATCATTATCCGCGGGGGATGTACCTAGTTTCTGGCTGGTCTAGGGCTGCTCTGGGGCTGGTTGAGGGATTAGGGTTGGCTTATATATGTTGGCTTCACCGTGGCAGTGGGTGGGCTTGAAGCTGATTCAGGAAGGGTTGAATCTGCTTTGATGCTTTCCTGGGATTGTGATTGGCTCAAGGCTTGGTTTAGGGAGGATGTGGAGTTCGCTAGCTCGGCTTTAGGGTTGGTTTATATTCGTTTCCGGCTTAGTTTCTGGATGGGTTTGGCATAGGTGTTGGCAAATCCAAGGGTTGGACTAGAGTTTGTTTCATGCTTGTTTGGGGATGGAGTTGGGTGTGGCTGGGTGAGATTAGGTTTGGGATTCGGGTGGGCCAGGTTGTAGCACAGGTTCATCTGGGTGCGATAACGCTGGATTGGAGTTGAATTTGGGTTGGTTCCAGATTGGATGAAAGGTTGAGCTTTGTTGGTTTCGTTCAAGATTGGTTCGGGGTTGGTTTCGGGTGGGTTTCGAGCGCTTTAAGGTCAAAGTCGAACGTAGGGTGGAAAGCGGAAAGCCACAAGAAGGAAAGCCTAAGAAGAAAAGCAAAAAGATACAAAAGCCGAAAAACAAAAAGCAAAGCAAACAGAGGGAGAAGTGGCCTCCCGCTTGCTTCAGCATCCGAAAATACAAAACAACCGAGGCAGTCCATAAAATAGGCTGTGCATTTCGGTGCCAACTGCAAAAACCTCCAATGCGTCTATGAGCTGGGCTGATGCTGCTGGCAGAAGTCGGACCCTTGTAAGCCAGGTTGATCCTGAGTGAGCAATGGTTGACGACACCTCTCATATGGCAACACGAATTCTGAGCTCAGATCTTTTTGAACAACTTCTCCCAGTGCCTTAATTTGCGCGCATGCCTGCCTGCTGGTCTGCCAGAGTTAGTGTGGCTGTAGATGATGGGTGGTCGAGGTGGGATAGCACAACTAAGAACGGCACCGAGGGCGAAGAGCAGGATTTCCCAGATCCAGGATGCACGGCATGCGCTCGCGCCTGGCTGCCACGCTCTCTTCACGCTCCCCAGCGATGCTTTAGATTCTGGCCATTCGTCGATCATGCCCTTTACCCGCACAGCCACCTTGCCATCTCAATGCAACGGACAAATTGAAGAGAACGGCCAAAGTCGCTTGCATGCTGTGAGCAAAGGTGACACCGTGTTGCTTGGTCATGGACGCCCGACAAAAGAATAATATATCTTTATCTGTGGAAGAATCAATTAGTCTCTGCTTGTCAGTGTCTGTGCAATCATGTACTACTCTTGGTACTGCAGGGCTCGTGAACGCATCATCTCTTGCTGAGCGCAAGACCTCATCACCATCCAGCGATCGTGTCAAGCCATTGGCAGTCTTGTAGGAGGCCATGACCTGCTTGTTCATAGCCTCCACATCCACCTCAGCATTTACTGTCAGGTCACTGCAAGGTCGTCAGGTCACTGTCAGATCACTGTCAAGTCACTGTCCAACCTGGATTGTAGTGGCATCCTGCCTTGACAAACTCTGACACGTTCCAGTTGTGAGACATCTCCTGCCACTGCGCTGTGACCTGCACGCAGCGTATGGGTATCAAACCTTTCCGCCCAAAGCACGTGGCCTCCCAAAGCTTGAGCTTGTCGTCAAAGATCTTCCTGACATGAAAGATGGGCAAGCCTATCGCCAATTCCTGGAGAGCTCAAAGGATCCTTGTTCTGGCAACCTCCGCAAACTGGAAGTGGCCACCGCTCTCCTCCTTAGACTCACTTGGATCAATGACTCAGCACCTGCAAGATCTGTGAGCGGTGCTGGAACCCGTTGCAAGGCCCGCGCATCTGCCAGGACTTGAGGGGAAGCACCAAGGAGGCCCTGTCACGCATGCCAAATGCATGTGATATGCATCATCACAGACGGCGGACAAAAAAGAAATAACAAATACAAATTGTGTGCCTCGTACTCCGTGAAGGTTTGTGCTCGCTCCTCCAAGACTTTGACCTGATGGACCAGTTGAAAGCTCGGTACATCAAACTAGACCACGAACAAGACTTGCAGAAGTGTGAAGTGTTGAATCCAACCAAGAAATGGTGGTATAGAAACTCTGCAAACGCCAATGTGCAAGCTGTAACCTGCTCATGTCTGTTATACAAACAGACCCTAAATAACTTGTTACCAGTTGCTATGTGGGCTGGCAGCGACTGGCTGATCATACCGAGTGTGTGGCTTTTGTCTCCAAGACCTTGTCTAGCTCCTCCAGGACCTGCCGACAGCTCAGTTCATTTGTCTGACAGCTACGCTTCAGAACTTCAGAACAGGTGTGGAAATGGAAGAGACAGGGTGATGAAGCAGAGAAGCTTGCGTTGCTGACTTGCCCGGTAGCCTCGTGGGCCACCACAATCTTGTCAGGGTCAATAAAGCTGCCTGTGAAGAGCTCCTCAACCATCAGTTGTAGACTGGCATACAAAAGCTCACTCATGCCCATGCAAAACAAGCTCAGGTTGAGTCCTCTGACACAACTTTCATCTCTTCCTCCACCTTCTGAGCCCTTTGGTACGTCTCTTGGGCCATTTCCTGGAGCACAAGCAGCAAGAGGCTTGATCAAGTACACATTGATATGCTTGCGAACAAGATGGTGCGACATTTTCTACCGCTGCCTCTTTCATCTCCGAGATGAACTGATTGGCTTCGAGCATCTTCTTGTTGCTGAAGTCGCTCTCCTGCTTTTCGTTAATTTCCCGTGTACGCACCTAGCCTGCACTCAAAATAAATGACACCTACAGGACTGACAGTGAAGAGGTCCTTGTCTTTCAGGCCTTCATAGAAAAACTCGTCATCACCAGGCATTCGCACCTTGAAGTCCCTGTCATGGCACCCGTGCGGTTTTCAAAAACGGAGGACCAGTGTTGATGTGGTCGGGTCTAATTCCTACGGTCGTATTGCCTGAGAAGAGAGTACATCTGCTCGACCTCGAACATCAGATCCTCCATTTCCTCCTGATCCTTACTTCAGGAACTTGGTCTGAAGCCCTCATGAAAGTTGTGACTATGACAATTGCCGGAGGAACCTCCTTTGCGCACAGCTACACGTGCAAAACAAACTTAGGTTCCAGCGTCCTGGATGGACTGATACGTCTTCACCTCAGGAAGAACGATTGCTGTACCAATCTGAACCAAGCATGAGCTGGTATTGCGTTGCCTTGGTGCCAAACATAATTGGCAAACTTGCTCAGGTCCTTCTCCCGCAATTCCAACTGCCGATTGGCCTCGGCAATTTGCTGGTCGCAATCAAAACCACCTGGATTATCTAACAGAAACAACAGAAGTCGGCCTGCTCGTAGCGGCTGTAACACTCCTGTTGTCAAACCCGGTAAACGATTTCATGTGGAACCAAATCTCTTTCATGAAGAGTCCTTGCACTTGATGCGCGCCAAGCCAAGGAGGCAGTTCTTCATGCAGGTCAATGACGCCTTTTATGAAACGATGAGGCTGCTTTACAAGAAGCAAACAGCACGGGACCTCTGGAATCGGTGAGAGCTTGTCCTTCAGACCCTTGCCATTGATCAGAATGATGCCCCATATCTGGCACGAGAAAGCACTTGGCTCAATGTGGATAGCTTGCACCGGTTCTGACATATGCCGGAGCTACCACACTCACTCGGAATGTGTCCAGTTCTTCCTGGAACCTAAGCACTGGCACTGCAGAGACCAATGCTGATAGCTTCTTATGAGCTTGATATTCCGGCCATTTCATTTTGTCCATCTGCACCGATAGCTCGTCGTAGTTGTGCTCCTCAAAGCAATCTACAAGATTCAGTCAAAAGAATCAACACATGAAACAAAGCGTCCTTCTCATTGAACGCATCCTCATCCCAAACTTTGCCATACCTAGCAAAGAAAAACATTTGCGGGCGTAATTAGCATCCGTCTCTGGTTGCTGTTGAATCTCACTGAAAAGCAGTCACACCAGCAGGGCACTCATAGATTTTGCGGAAGCGCTCATACGTGTTGTTGGAGTTGGCCTTCAGCATCAAAAACGCAATTAACCAAAGATGGGTTGCAGCCGTATGTCGCAAAGCCGCCTGAGCCTCTTCAACCGCTTCAGTGATGAAGTCCTGAATGTTGGCCTGATATCCTGCAATTGATTTGTGTTTCCAGAGCACATCAACCTGGCACTCACAGTCCTAAGTACGTTCTGTCTTTCATCATGATGTCCTGCCAGTCAGGCACATGCAGAGAGAGAGAGAGAGAGAGCAGTACTGCCACAATTCATTGGAACAACCAACTGTCATGCTCCAGGCAGGTCACCACAAGGTCAATCGTCCTTCACCGTTTGGTGATGCTGAACCCGGCAGAACTGGTCGTACCTAAGGTTTCTGCTTTTCTAAAATTTGTAGGCGGCAACTCCCCCCCCCCCCCGCCACCCTCCAGCCACCACAACTCCCGAGGCAGCAGTGTCGCCCTTTTACCTCCTTCCCGCACAAGCGGCCACCAACCGGCCCAACCACAACCAACCCCCTCACAAACACGGTAAGCTTCCATGAGGCATGATTCGATCTGCGTTCAGGTTTGTCCAAGGACAAGAGGACTCAAGCACGATATTTTCGTTTAAGCGAACCTAGAACCCTCTTGCCGCAATTCGTTTGAGCGAACCTTGAACCACCCTAGGGCAGCTGGGGCATTGCAGAGAACTGTCAAGAATCATGCAAGTAAGGCTTGTGGCAAAGATATTATCCCAATCCCAAGCTGGCTTAGGGCATGTGCTGGCGGACGCAGGTCATCGACTGCAGATTGTTCAACGTCTGGAACCATCCATCCGAGATCCTTGTCAGCAGCATGCTGGAGAAAACACAAAAATGATAACAATTTGAGTTCTGTGGCTGATCATATGTGCAAGAAAGTTCTAAGATGAAGTCGAGTGCAGCATGTCCAAGAAGTCATAGATCCCTGGGTCCAGCGTAATCGCCTGCTCTTCAAATGCATGGTTTGTTCAATCCGTCGCAAGTTTCAGCAGTGCCTGGTCGGACATGTCCACGGAGATGACGAAGAGTTTGGACACGTTCTGACAGAAGCTACCACGGAAGCAAACAACTGGCAGGTTAGAACGAGCCTTCTGGTCCAAGCGGCTCCAGAACTGTTTGACCGCCTCAATGACCGTCTGCACCAGGGCTGCCTGCGAAATGAGCGAAACCGAACAAGGTCATGTCCTCTGAAATCCAACCTGGAACATGTAATCCATCATCCGAAT